TAATAAAGGATTTTTATAATAAGTATTTTTCTTTAATTAAAAATAGTAGCTAAAGTAGCTAGTTAAGATAGTTAAAAATAAAATAAAAAATCTTTTTAATAAAATCTTCTTAATAAGCTTAAGAAGTAACAAGCTATAGCTATAAAGCTTACTTATTAAGTATATAATAGTATAAAGAAATAAGTAAATCTAGCTTTTAAGATAAATAAATAGACTTTAATATAAAAGCTTAATCTTCTAGACGTGGCTACTAATAGAGTTATATATAGTATAAATAAATACAGTTAAAATTACATTAAGTTCCCTCGAAGAGGGACACAGCGACAACTCCGACGCGATTTTAAGGAAAGGACAGTGTCTCTGGGCCATTCGCCACTTCTTACCTGAAGTCCCAGTTCCAGAGGTCTTCTGTTGGACAGAGGAAAACGGCGTCACATTCCTCTACATGGAATACATTGATGGGATCACTCTACGTGGTCGTTGGGATACCCTAAGCGTTATAGAGAAGGATGGCGTCTGTGAACAGCTTAGGTCGATGGTCACCAAAATGTCTCGTCTGCGCCAAGCACCTGATGATCCGTTCATCGGCAGGTACCCCTGCTCACACTTCAAGCATCATCCAGACCTAACCGGAGCTTAGGTAACATCAACCGCGGGGCCGTAAGAGACATGGTCTTTACTGACACAAACTTTCCACCCGCTGGCCCTTTTTCTTCAGCGGCTGATTTTCACCACTGTATGTCGGACATGTTCAAATGGCCAGCCACGGCCAATGATCCAGATCTTGATCCTGCCAGCATCACAGACCCTTATCGAGAGATGCTACCTGACGATTGTCCTATCCACTTCACGCACGCAGATCTTAACCCTGTAAACATAATGGTGTCCAAAGATTCGCCTTGCCGTGTACTGGCAATTCTTGACTGGGAACAATCTGGCTGGTACCCCGCTTACTGGGAGTTTTGTAAAGCCGAATTAACTGTTAAAGTCTATTCACAGTGGCAAGCTGTATATTTGCCGAACATTTTGGAGGAGCCAGATTGTGTTGAAGGCTTTTACGGTTATGTCTGCTCATTTGCTCCTTAGTGTAACAAGTATATAATTTACATAATTGCCGCTTGATATACAAGCAACTATACGGTTACAACTTGACTCCGGAGTACTGGCTAGTCAATTCATGATCCATGCTTGCAGTGACCTTATATACGGCCGTACTCCTGAGCATGGAGCTGCATGGTTTCTCTCTTGGCTCCATGCAACATGAGCATACACAATGCCACAAAAGGCTGCTTTCAATCGCCAATGTCCAATCCCGAAAGCACCTGTACCAAGGCAACAACACTCAATCCCTGAGAACAAAGCCTCATAGAACTGGATGTCGGACTCGACCTGTGCATGCGCCACTATCACATTATATTGCATTCGTCGAAATCATGGAGGTTATCTTAGTTTAACCCCAACCTTATTGCCTAAACTTCTACTCTTCTTTATCAGTAGGATTTCATATCCTGAATGTTTTCTGAGCTACCTGCAGCCATCGAAGGACCAGGAAAGAAACACAGGCCATTTGTATTAGGTTCTAAGAGCAAAGGTACCAGAAAGAATAGCTGCCCATCCAAGAGTATATACATACACAATCCTACGCTTATCACTATTCCGTCCCCTTACGAATAAAAAAGCACAGAAATGCCTGCATGGACCACCGCCAGCCCAAGCACGTCGAGATTCCCTTCGAACCTCACACACCCATCAATACCTACTTCCGTTCAGATGGGCTACATAAAGCTCAATGCTACTTTCCCTAATATAAGCTAGTGCGCTTGGCTAGATATTTATCCACTGTAGCATCTTTATTTCATGCACGTCAAGTCACTACTACAGTCTAATACACAAACATAGTTTACCAATTTTCGGAGAACTACATATGCAAAACTAACTTAGTTTATCTCTTTATTAATACGACAAGGCGTATAATGCAAGCACTACTAAAACATAAATTTGTACGTTAACAGTATTAGATATAATAGCTACTATTTCCAGCACGTACTAACGACTTCTATCTTCTACCACTTGTCCTTAGGAATAGAACAACCGAACTCCTCCTTACTGCTAAGCGTGGGAAATGCAATAAAACACTTGGGATACTGAATGGGCTTGGTGACGCTCAAGTCTTTCTGAGTGGGCACTGAGGGCTTGCCGTTATTGCACTCATAGTTATTAACGAGTGCGGCGTCGTAGTCATCCACAACCTTCTTCATTGCATCGACTTCGACTGATGTCAATACTGTGTACTTATTCTTGGGGTTCTGTACGACACGGCGGGTGATTCCAAAGCATACGCATTTGTCGTCATGCCAGATGCATCCAGATAGTTTGTTGGTACAGACATCCTTTGTCATCTTTTGCGTCTTGCCTACTGGATCCGAGGCCTGGGTTCTCTGCAGGTCGCACACAGTGTCGGGACGGCTCGCCATCAAGGAATAATATCTACCATTGTGGCCGGTCATAAGAGCTCTTGTCTTAGCAAACTCGAGCCATTTCTTATGTGTGGCCTCGACGTAGGCGTTCATGGCCTTGGTAATGAGGGGCTCCGATAGCCAGGCGCCCATCGCAAAGCGGGTAAAGACCCAGTCCTCAGCGGTGAGACCTCCCCCTTGCATGTTGCTAGGCAACTTACCAGAGAGGACGTCCTCGACGTAGCCGTTGGTGGCGTTGAGCACAGCGCTAAAGACAGTGCCGTAAGCGTTCTCGAGATCGTTCTCGAGATCATCGGCCGTCACCTTGGGGCTGAAGCTACCACTGTTGGCAGACGCCGATGCGAAGGCGCCCGAAAAGAAGGTGAGTGTACCAGCGATTCCAGGAGACGCGGCACCGACACCGGCGCCAGCGGTGAGGATGCCGACAAGCATGTTCAGGATCATGCCGCGGTCGTCAGCGGGCGGGTCGCCGTACTCTTTGACAATGTCCTTGATGCCACTCGACAACTGCTGGATGCTGAAATTGACGCTCTTGGCCCAGATCTTGTGGAAGGCGCTGAACATGTTGGCGATCTGCACATGCACGTAGAAGGCCATGGGCGGCGTGTAGGTAGTGCAGGGCGTAGTACCAGGACCCGTGCACGTTGTCGATCCGAGATCCTTGCAGTCAAAGGTCGAACTGCCCTGCTTGCCGCCGGCGATGACGTCCTTGAAGAACTTGTCGGTCCATTTCTCGGCACCGTTCTTGAAGAGCCACTCTCGGAACCAGTAGGCCGCACCACTGCTGAACCACGTCAGGGACACCTCGCTGGCCTCCTCTTGGTCGAACTTGTACTTGCAGATGTCGTCCTTGAGGTCTTGGGGCCAGTCAGCGCCGTTGTCGCCTGTTTTACCCGCTTGAGTGCCCTTGTTCTTGAGGTCGATGATGGTCGTATCGCCGTCACCACCACCACCGTTCTTGCACGCGCCGTTCTGGCATCCATCGCCACAGTGGCCGTCAGAGCTACCGCACCAGCCTCCAGCCGAGCAGCAGTCGCCGTAGCTAGTTCCCTTGCATGTAGCTCCGAGGAAGCCAGCGCCGCATCGGCCGTTGGTCGACTTACCATTCTTGACACACTTGCCACTGACGCAGCCAGTGCCACAGTGAAGCTCCGAGGATCCACAGCTGCCATACTCGGAGCAGCAGTCGCCGTAGCTGGTGCCTTCGCAGATGGCGCCCTTGTTCTTGGGTCCGCATTTACCGTCCTTTGACTTCTCAGGCTCCAAGTCTCCGCTGTTGCTTGCCGTGCCGGGCTCAAAGTCGACGCTCCAGGCCATCAGACCGCCAAAGCAGTAGTTGTTGGCGAACTCGCGCTTCAGTTCAATTGTCTCCCTGTCGTCGTAGCCGATCCACTGGTTGTCAAAGACGAGCTCCTTCATGGCTGAGTCCTTGAGAAGGCGAGTCTTGGCCCCATTCTTGACCTTGTCTTGGATCTCCAGCAGAGACATGACGCCCGCGCTGTTGGTGCACTTGGCTGGGTTGCTAGGCCCGGAAAAGGGACAGCCGAGAGTGTTGCACGAGGGATTGGTCACGGTGTATCCGCGGCCATACCACGCGACGCCAAAAACAATCTTGTTAAAATCAACACCTGCATAAGCCAACGGAATGGTGTTGTTTGCGATCTCGCGAATGTCAGCTTGGCCTCGGATAATAGGATCCAAAGTCTTGACATCGGCATCCCAGAACCCGTGCAAGTCATAAGCCATGAATCCAAAGTGATCTACATATGGCTCCAGTCCTGCGACATCGAAATATCGCAGGTACCAGTAGTCAGGAGCCAGAGTCAGACTGATGCCGTACTTGTTGCCCCACGCGGTCTTCATGTCCTTGAGCAGGAGGACAAAGTTGGCGATATCGGCACGACTTCCTCCGCGCTTCGGTTCGCCGGGATACTCCCAGTCAAGGTCGATGCCCTGGAACCCGTACTTGTCCATGAAAGCAGCGGCTGACTTGATGAAGGCGGCGCGGTGCCCAGCATCGGCACAGAGTTTGGCCCATGTCTTATGAGTTGGCTTGTCTTCGTCACTAAAGTCGTAGCCGCCCACGGCCACCCAGGTCTGCAGGTTTCTGCCCTTGCCCTTGAGTGCAGTAAAGTCGCGGACGTTATCCTCATCCTCGGAATCAGAAAGCTTAACAGCATAAGAGCTGGGGTCGATGGTTGCAAAGGCCCAGTACAAGTGCGTGTAGCTGTCTGTCTTGATATCCTTGGGGTAGACCTTGTTGCACGCGCGGTTGCGCATATTGTTGGCCTGGTAGTAGCCGATCATTCGCTTGTCGGCGGTGCCAGAGCCCTTGCCGCATGTCTTTGGCTTGATCATAGAGCAGCTGCCGTAGCCTTGCTGGCAGAGAGACCACTTGTTGGGGCCTACGCAGTGGGTTTCTGTAGTACCGCACCAGCCGCCAGAGCTACAGCAAAGGTTGAGGCCACATGGGATATCGCCGCCCTCGGACAGTTCACCGCACATGGCTGTAGCATCACAGTTGCTTTGGCAGCCTGTGTCACAGAAGCCCTTGCCGTAGCCACAGACACCATCGACTGAACAGCAACTACAGATGTCTCTTTTTAGCAACTGACAATTTGTCAATGGAATATGATCGATAGAACTAACCTCTTGTCGGCGCACTCGCCGTTGGGGCAGAGCAGCGCACCCTCACCAGGGGGCTCACTGGCACGCTTACCGAAGAGCTGCTCTGGAGACAGGCTTCGACTCATAAGGTTGCTCGTCGTGTCATTCTCGGGTGACCGCATGTCTAGCCATCGCGACAAGACATCAGGTCCGGTTATAGCGGGATTCTGATGTGTAACACTGGCAGAGGCCAGTGAGACCAAAAGGCCACACCTGAATATACTCTGCATTGTGCTTGAATTGGTTGATAAAGCTGAAGACTTAAATTGTTTGCTACTCGAGCTATCGCATTCTTATTTATGTATTCCATCTGGGAGCCTAGGATGAAATTAACTAGGCTTAATTCATATTTCCTCCGAGGAAAGACAAACAGAGCGGAGCCTTCCATCAGGCTTAGACGGTGAGAGGATGCGCTACTACATTGACTGTATAAGCTTACTATGGCATGGTTGGACTTGAACTCTACTACGTAGCAGAGAATAGCTTATGGGGCTTCACTAAAACCCCTCAAGTACCGCGGGCGTAGATCACATGTTCAGGTCCAGACTGCACTAAGAGCGGCTGAGCCGTTTTGTTAAAATGTCCGATTGTCCGGGTGGCGCCGAGAGTGGACAACCTTATGTTTGAAGCTTATATCTAACTGGCTACATCGCAACGATCTCTAAATAGAGCTTTGCTGTGGATCTGTTGCATGCCAAGTTCTAATCTTATAAAATCACTTGGCAGACATGCCGTTTTCCGGGAACCACAATATTCCTCTTTAGTGCCCCAAAAACCGTTTTCTTAGGCCATCGATACTCCACAATAAAGACCCCATGCCATGCACTACCTAAAGAACAGAGATTGAACCCAGCTGCAGGAACAGTTCGGCATGGTTCCTGACTAAAGACTGGGCTGTCCTTTGATTTAGTCCGGCCTGAAGTGCCCTTGTATAGTTAATTCCCCGTTTGTGTCTACCAATAGAATACCATTCTATCCGATGTAAGATCCTACATTCCCTAAACAGCTTAAGTATTTTAATGGATTGCATTCCCTGCAGAAGCTAATTTCCATATTATTAAGCGTCTCCGTTGGTCTTTTTAGTGATCTGTTTAAAAAAAACTCTGAAATCCTCCACTAAAAGACACAGCCTTACTGAACAAAGTAGTGACGTCGCTAAAGTCCTCCGCGCTGTATAAGCCAATCCTCCTCTAATGCCAATCGGATGAAAATGATATAAACTAGCTGCGAGACAAACGTAGCTTAGCAACGGTAGTGTTACAAGGTCTGGTAGTGTTCTCGGCAAGATATGTTCTATTTCCAGGAGTCCAGGCTATATTTTTAAAGACCGTAAAGTTCAATAAAGAGTCTCTTGGCCAGAGAAAGAAGTGTCGATTAGAAAACAACCTGAGCCAGTGCGAAAGCTTTAAACGGTTGCTGGAAAAACTTCACCACCTAGCGGCAATTTCTATCATAGTCGACTACCCGCACATGCTCAAAGCTACCTTGGATGCTGTAGGTGAAATCTTCTCCAAGAAGACCGATGCCAATTTTGGCAAAGTTCACCAACTCCGGCTACCCAGTAGGGCAAAGAGATTCGAACAACTGAGATTTCAAATCACCGAGGAGAACTAAGAAATGGGTAATACTGGTTGTTACAGAAGGATACGTTGTCTCAATACATGGCATAGGGGTTTATGTTAAGCGTGTAAGGTACAGATATTGGCAAAGTGAGTGCGAACCTCAAAGAGATTGTCTTCGGTATAGCCTCCACTGAGCTATCGTGGACTCACGTTTCATTCGAGCCAAATTTATCAGATCGAGTCCGAGAGTAAGCCAGATTCTGTCCTCGCACAGTCAATCGAAATCATTAAGGATGTATCCAAGGTATCTGAAAGTAATTCATCTCTTTCATACTGGACTGTCATGTTGACGTATCCGCACGAAATAACCATATCCTACTTCTTCAACCACCAAGTAACCAAGTTCTATATCACGATATGAACTATCAGCCACCGCAACATGCTTTAGCGCCTTTACTACAGCACACTTAGTTCGGCAATGCTATTAGTAGACTGACTGGCACCTTGTGGCATTGTTCCAGTACCAGTTGGTATGATATATCTTAAAGGACAGGCATGAATAAGCGGGCATACTAGGTCAGCTCCCTGGTCAGTGTCGTGGACATGATCTGGAAGGATAAGGCCATGATTTTCGTCCTTTCACTGGTTATAGAACCCCGATCTTGGATGCATCCGGGCGGATGATGTGACATTGGCCGTCTATGTAGGTCGTTCCAGCGAGAGCGCCTGAAGGGTAACTTGGGCGCGGAAAATGAACACCAAGGGCGCGTTCCGTAATGGGGAAATGAGTGATAGGGATAGCTTCGACTTGGAAGATGGAGTATTGGTAGAGAGAGGAAAACATCGTAACGTTGCGAGCGGCGCGGATTAATGGTAGTTATGTGGTCAGCTACCCGCCATCAAGCCCTGGGGCCGACTTGTGCTGAGTAGCCTTTATGCAGTTCCAGCTTACGTGGGCCCTCGCGACGGGCTTGTTCGTGGATGTTGGACTCGCCAAGCTGAGAATTGAATCATCACGACGGTGCAGACTAAGGGTCTCCACGTTGCGTCGGTATGCATTGTCAGCCGTTGGCTATCGACATTGGTGTAGGTTGTATTGAGTCTCGGGTCTTTATGCTCTTTCTTGGTCTGACAGCATCCAATCCATCACGCTTGCGCTTCGCTCCCTGCTCCATCGCCGTAACCTGAGGTTTGACGGCAGACAATTCATACTTGTCGCCGACTAACTGCGTTGTAATCCGTTCGGCGAAGCTCGAATATGGTTCGAAGGGGAGTCGAATGTGCTGTATCGTCGGCCACGTAACCTGGTCCTCATCGAGTGTCGGGCGGTCCAGTGCCTGGAGGAGTATATACGGGACATCGGCTTGGAAAATGTGCGCGTTTTTTGTGTCGGACTTATTTGTTACGAGTAACCATGCCTACAGAACTGATTGTTAGCAAGGAAAGACATGACACTGGGGCGGGATCGACATACATTGAAGGTTTCTGGTTGAGGTGACTGGCGCTTTTGCCATTGGAGTTGAGCCAAGGATAGCAGTATACAGACCAAGTACGGATCCTCAAACCATAGAGGAGGAGTGACATTACGCAATCTGCGCTGATAGATCCTCAACACAGGAGAGTTGCATCGACTGGTGATAGGATGCGATCTGGGGGTCAGGGCCCGCTTCCGCTCCAGAATAAGGTTGTTTTAATGATAGTGTCCGACAATTGGACGCTGTTTCAGCATGGTTTGCGGTCTCATCTGGAAGACCTGGCAGTTTGGCAAATGCACACGGCGCCGGGCGTAGAGGAAACAAGGTGACCCGCTGACTTTTTCCAACGGGCTGCCATGATGACCGAGCAAATGGCCGACGAAGAGCGATTTGACAATTGAAGAGCGGTTCTTGGATAGCTTTTGGGAATGTAGTGCAAGGTCTGGGTCGTCGTAGGGAGGTTTTGAGGGAGATGCAGAGGTCGCGGGGGCAGCAGATTCGAGGTGCTCGAAGCGGCAGTGCAGGAGATGAAGGTGCTGCGGAGTCCAGAATAAAGGGTGCACGGCGAACCACGGGTTATCGATGCTCAGTCTGTGCAAAGATGAAGCATTTGGCATTGGCGGTTGCATGTCCATCGATAACATGGGAGATGCCATGTCATGGTGTTGTTGGTTACGCGACGCGACGACGCCAACTTACCTAAGTAAGCCTAGCCGAAGCCAATTGGTTTAACGCTAGCTGCACTATGCCGAATTAGTCTGCCCCAAGCAGTCCAACCCATGTTTAACGCGTCACTGAGACACTCTAGTGGCATCATATTAGTGCATACATTCTCAATTCCATGCACTGAAGGCGGGGTGACTTACCTCTTGCTATCCTAGAGAAATGAACTGACTTCATTATGCCAAAATCATATTTCAAAACCATAACATCTCAGCATGCCTATAAGTCACACATTCAATCTGATCCATTAGTCAATTCCTCCTCTTTCTCTGACCTCAAACCCGGGCTAGCAGATGGGGCCACCGGCAGCTTTTAACGTGTCATGTCATTGTCTCATCATGTGAGGCTACCTTGGCAAGAGCAACAGATTTATTCGACGAGTTCCCAAGCACAAGGTATGTATATGTCTGGCTACATGGTTGATATACAGCAACTAACGGAAGCAGTGTGACCATCATAAACGCCACACAGAAATATGTCTGTTTTCTACAATATGACGTGGAGGACTCGTATATAGATGACTTGAGACTTGGGGCGATACCGTCCCAGCCATTGATGGTTACATCGACGCAATGGTTTGGTCTGAGTACGAGAACGGGCAGAGACTCTGTTTTGAAGAATATTCGTGGCTGATTGGCATTAACCAAGGAAGAATTTGGCGTATAACAGGGCAATGTTATTGATCGGTATCTTCCATCTAAATGGGCAGGCTCCGCTGCCTGTAAACGTTATTTTCCAGGATTACCAATGCTTCTATTACCTAAGTATTCAATTTGGTTGAAAGCCTCTGAGCTGTCTTATGGCTCATGTGCGGGACAGCTGGGGTTGCGACAATCATTGTTTGCGTCAATCCGAATCTACGATCAACGGATGTTTTTCCTCCCTATATGCTTTTCAGCTCGGCCATTCAGTCTCAATAATGTCCACTTCCGGGGCACTTAAACACTGCACCATAGGCGTTGAGAAGGGTTGACTATTGCATGAGGGCAAGGTACAACATCTCGGTGCAAAGTGCTTGGAATTCCGCATCACCAACATGCTTAGCAAGCTATGGCCGCCACAAAAACCAGAGATGATAATTTCCCAGCGCAAGTACCTGGACCACTCAGGTTGACTCGTAGCATCGACTATCATACGACCAAAATGAGAAATTATTGCCAAAGCGGAACGTCCGTCGTCTTTATGGCTTTCGGAAGCCGCAACTCCGAGTCTCGCAATTCCAAGGTTCGGGGCGACCATCAACAGTATCGGCTTCCGGCCTGCTATTGCCTGCGAATCGGAACTATGAAAAACGGAAACTCGGGAGCCTCGGCTCCGCGTTGAGTCATTTACTGCTGTAGAGAAACCTGTTTCTGGATTACTGATCTCGGCATTGGGGTTCGTTATTTACACCTTCTATATTATCATACCTGCCTAAAGACCTCATTCGGTGAGCACTCTTCATCGATGTGATCGTCAATGCAACGTAAC